ATAATCATCGTTTTCACTTTCGACCTGCCGATGTGAACTTTTTTCGTCTTCCACACTTTCACGTCCTTCCTTAAGCTCTTTATGCCATCGAAATCCCTGGGCACATCTAATAGCACCATCAAAATGCACTTTTACAATTTTAGCGTTCGTTCCATTTTCGAGGCTTTTTCACCCAATTCGACGCAAAATTTTATCGCGACGCGTTGCTCTTGATTTCGTTTTTCCATTTTCGTGACGAGCACCATGAACACACTTTTACTCAACTCGACACAGCAGGCGAACTAAACAAGCTAGAGCGTTGCCAAATATATCAAGGGAGAGGAAAAGGCTGGGAGAGGGTAAAGGTAATTTTAATGTAGCAGGGTTACCTCAATTGCGGAAATATAATCTGTCTCATTACTTAGCTGTCACACCTCGTATACGCGAAACGTCCGTGGCTTAAGTCTCTGGTCATAGGGACACCAAGGGATCTGTGGGGTAGATGAGCTGACCATATAGGGATAGTCCATTATTAATTTTTCTTCGATTGCTTGGCAAAGCTCGCATCTCTAGGGGTCATTAATTCTTTGACATTTAAGACAAATTTTTAAAATTCAACACAAATTTTTTATTTGAAGATGGTTGAATTTTTTTCTATTACGACTTTGTTATCGAGAATGAAATGAAGCATCTTCCCAAAAATTCTTCTTTTGATTTGGAGTTAAAACTTCTTCACAAGCGCTAAAAATGAGAATTAAGCCGGACAACATGTGATGGTGGCGTTACGAGAACTGTGACCGAAAGAGCCGAACGGAGGGTGGGGGAGATATATACGTAGTACGTAAATACAGGCCAAAAAATACGGGTTTCCGTTCGTAAATTAAATACTAAATGCGGACCAATGTAATTTCTGCAAAAAAAAAGTTCAGACCAAAGACTTCTCGCTTACAGTCAAGTAGACTCTCAAGAGCTTGGAGAAAATTATCATAATTTGCCGCTCATTTATTACTTACTTCTCGAAGGTAAATAAAATTACAAAAAAATATTGATGTCAGGGAGTCTACCTCATAGCGTGGGACAGCAATAGATACAGTTTTCTTCAGATATCTTTAAAAAAGAAAGAGAAATATGATACAGACGTTTCTCCTTCATGGAAATAGCAAATAAATACTAGCAAGATCAAACGATCAGACACAATTGCCACCTGCAAGAAGGCTAAATATCCGTTTACCTGATTCAAATTAAAAAACCCTGAGTTTTGTGGTGATTAAGATAATTCTATGTTATGTCACTGAAGAGTATAATTTAAATTTTTCCTTAATATTTTATTGTTAATTTGACAAATTATTAAGAAAAAAACAGTCTCAAATTGAACCTTCGAGAACTTAGTGTTAAATTATTTTATTTTAAGAGAGAAAATATTCAATAAAAAATGTAGTTGTCAAGAAAAACCCGAAATTTTTAATTCCACAAACTATGTGTTAGTACATTTGCAGAAAATCGTATGAGTATTTACGTACATATAACTTTCCCTTCCAACCGCAAACTCAATTGATTGATTGATTTTTCACTTGAATTCATTTAAAAGAGTGTGATGATGTGATGAAAACAACAAGTTGTATGCAGTCTAATCCATTAAAATAGAATAAAGAAATAATGAAAATAAATTTGCCATATAATTTGCTGTGTTACTTTTGTTACTTCTTCCATGCTCTTTTCTATAAAACAAAAATTCCATTAGGAAAATTTAACCACAATAAAAGTAACACTAGAACACAACCTAGTGAAAATATAAGGGGTGTTCTTTAAGTTCATGTGGTCTCAATGAGGCGATAACTCTTTTCGGAGTTGGTCTTTTTGACAGCTGTCACTTGATGTATACTGACTTTGGTTTGGCATTTCATAACGAACCGACTTACTTTGGAAATATGTTTGCTAATCGCGTAAATTCATTACCAGAATAAAGGTTCGGCTCGTACATCCAATATTCGGTCGGTTTTACGAGCAACCTTGAATCGATTTTGCATAACGTTAACTCTAGTGGATAATACTCATTCCCAGAGACGCCGCATAGTGCGAAAAGAAGACGCAATTGCTGTTGTGAAGCAGAGTTTCGAAGTAGACCTGCTGTTCCCATGCACTTTTTGAAAGATCTTGGTTTGGCGGCTAATAAAACCCCACACAAGAATTGAAGCCGAAGAACCATTAAGTGCGTCACACATGCGGTAAATGTATCCAACACGAGATAGCGACCCTTTACCGATTTTCAAAGAAAATGTGTGCAGCAATGAAGTGGAGTGATGATAATCCACAAGTCAAATGTTGGAGGGCCGTTAAATCCTGAAAAAGTCACTGTTTGGTCTGCTCTTATGGCCGAGGGAATTATTGATCTCTTCAAAAATTACGCCAGCCATAAGCTTATTGACAATGGGGAAGGCTACAGAGCCATGATTAATTATTATAATTGGACGGCGCTCATGTAGACGATCTTTGGCTCCAACAAGACGGGGCTACTTGCCCGTAAGCTAAGGAAACAATCATTTTATTGAAAGAAACTTTTGATGTGCCCATTATTTTGTATCGTAGGCTTGTGGCGGGGCCTCCAAGATAGTGCGAATTAACACCGCTGAAGTCTTTTTTAAGGGCATATATGAAGTTGCTTGGCTACGCAGATAAGCCCGAGAGGGAAGAGAGGTAATTTACCCGAAATAATTTTTAAAACATAATGGATAATCCTTATCTTTTCAACAAAGCTGAATTTTTGGAGGTTGGCGAATTCCTTGAAACCCAACCGCACATCTAAAAAAAAAACACCCTTTATGCTTGAATAATGCTCAAAACAACAAAATAAATGAAAAATTTTCATATACTTTTATACATATGATATATGACTGATGAAAATAGTTTAAAAAAAAAAACAAATAAATAATATGAAACAGTGGCGAAGTAACAAAGGAGGCTCAACAAAAAAACCTAATCCATCACAAACCCAGTGCAGTTGCAAATGCCTAAACGAGATTCAACATTTTTTTCTCTTTTTTTGTGAATGAAAAACTATGTAAGATAAACGCCATCATGATGAATGCTTAGGCTGATTCCTCCCTGCTGTTTCTATATATGCTTGTACAGATATGTATGTATGAAAATGTACTGTACTTATGAATGTTTGCTGTCACAATTTTTCATTGTCAAAGCACATGCATACATTTTTACTCATATGCATTTTCGTCATAAATGCAAACATAAAGGCATATACAAACAAATTTCTCTCTCAAATGTATGTTTGAAGTGCATTACTTGGTCACAGCAAAGCTCTCTAGCTAAACATATCTTTCTACTGTGCTTTTTAGCACTAAATTATTACACACACACCCACACACACACATATGTATGTCCATACATATATGCATTTGTGGGTGAGTGAACCGCACTTTATGCGTACATTGTGAAAACAACAAAAACAAAAAACAAAAAAATAAAAATCTACCAACAAACAAATATCTTCAAGTCATTTACACTAAAAACGCAGCAGCAGAGACGTTGTGAAGCACATTTACTGTTATATGAGGAAATACAGTGGAATGCATAATACCCAAGATAAACATAAAAAATAGTGATTTGTTTTTTAATGAATTATCAAGTTTTTAGAGAATTTTTTTTTTCAATTTTTAAATTTTTTTTTTATTATTTTTTATATATTTTTTATTACTTTATTATTTATTTATTTATTTTTTTTCCTTTTTTATTACTTTATTATTTTTTTCCCCCTTTTTATTACTCTATTATTATTTTTTTTTATTTTATCATTCTTTATTTTTTTACAAATTTTTTTAGTTTTTTATAAATTTTATTACTTTTATTATTTTTATTATTTTTTTTTTTTTGTTTTTCATTATTTATATTATATTTTTAGTTTTTAAATTTATATTATTTATTTTTTTAATTTTTAAATAATTATTTAATATATTTTTATTTAATTTTCTATTCATGTTTTTAAAGAAATGTTTTTAATTTTTATACTACTGTATTTATATTTTTCATTCTGGTTTAATATTTTTCACCTTTTCGTATCGTATGAGTATATATTGCACTGTACGAGTATATATAAGTAAACAGTTTTTCAAAAGTTTTGACTGTCTTATTCACTTTATATAAAACTTCTTTATAAATTCCATAAAAAGTTCAAAAATAATTTATCAAAACTAATCAATTCCTATTTGTTTGAAATTCCCAGCAAAAAAAAATAGAAATGTATTATTTTTAAATTATTTTTTCACATTATTTTTATTTTTTATACATTTATCTGTTTTAAGAAATTCTATTTTTTTTTTTTCTTATTAAGTTTCTTTTTTATATTATCTACTTCTCTATGTATTGCTTTGATTGTTTTTTTTTTGTTTTTGTTTTGTTTATTGCTTTAATATTTTAATTCGTTTTGTATTTTAAATTTTTTTTGTTATTTTTTTAACATTATTTCTTTAATTTTAATTCTCTTATATTTTTTCTTATTTGTTTTTTATTTCAATATTAATTTTATTTTATTTGTATCTACATAATCTTTTTATGTTTTTTAAATATATTTTAAGGGTTTTTTATATTATTTTTTCATATTATTCTTTTTGATACTTTTTAGCTTTTTCCTTTTTTATTTTTTTAAATATTCTTTGCATTTTTACTTTTTTATTTAGGTTTATATTTACATTTTATTATAATAATGTTCAATTTTTAATTTGACAAAAATTTTTTTTTTAGAAATTTTTTAAAATTTTCTATTCCATTTTGCAGTCTTTTTTAATTTATTCCAATGTTTTTTGCCTTTTTCAGTATGTTTATATTACTTTAAAATTATTTTATTTTATTTCTATTTAAGTTTGTAGTTACTGAATTTAATATTTATTAAATTATAATTTATGTATTTCACATTTATTACATTTGTACAATAGTATATTTTTTATTAGATTTTTTTATTTTTCCCAATTCATTGTTTTTTCTAAATTCCAAAATTTTTCATCTGTTTAATAGTTTCATATTTTTATTTAAGTTATCTGCTAGTATTTATTTTAAACTAGATCTTAAGGGGTATTTTCAAGCGAACAAAGTAGTATTAGTAGAAGTCCATAAAATCTCATATTTCCATATTTGTTTGAACTCTCAGCAGCTCCCATACATATATATGTATGTGTGTAAGCATGCATTTAAGTACATATGCTGTCCCCACTCTCTCCCTCTCACTCATTCTTTAACCCCGAAAAGCCTTTATTGGACGCGTGAACGCACGTTTTTTGGGTCAACAGCAGTCAAGACACATGAAATTTACTAAGTTGGCAACAAAAAACGAAGGCAACAACAAAGCACTGAGTTGCCCACAATTACTTTGTATGAGCATGTGCGAGAGCATGTGAGCACCAACAACAATAGCAAATACATCAACACATTAGTTGTAATGTAACGAGATTGCAATGGTGTGTGTGTGTGTATGTATGCATTTCTATATGTGTATGTACATATGTATATCTGTATTTGTGAATACAACAATGAAAATTTATACATTTTCCTTATTCGAAACATGTTGCCGAACAAGCGCGTTAACAACACTCTTGCCTTCATAAATACACGCATTTCTTTACACATGCACACATACATAAATATGTATGTATGTGGATGCATAAGTAAAAGTTGTTCACTGGTTTTGTATATTTTTTTTTCTAGCTGTTTAAATGGCGCTCTATGCTCGCTGGCAATAAGCAAAACGCATGTTTGAAGGATTAAACTGGATTTTACGGTACATTGTGGCTGCAAAGCTTTTGAGTGCATAAATAAATATTATTTAGTATAAAGTTGCTTTCTACTAAGCAGAAAGTGTACATTATTGTTATATCATTTAGTATGAAATTCATTAATATATATTTTCTGATGCGCAAATTTTTGTTTTTGGAGTAAAATTCACTTACAATTTATCTTCTTCTGATTCTTTTATGGTATTTTTTACGTGTTCTTACCTGTAAAGAAAAAAATTGAATATTTTCATGTCATTTTGTTTATTTTAATCATTTGTTAAATAGAAAATAGTAAAAAATTCATATTATGTCTTTAGTGTACAGAATAATAATAAACAAGTTCAATGAAAAAAACTTATCTCAATTTACTGAAAAACATGTATAAAGAAATTTTAATAATAAAAAATTTACATAAACACTGCAACTAGGTTTTTCCTAAAAATTTCACATTTGCAAACGTTTAAATATTCACTTATATCTTTATATATTTTCTCTGAATAAAAATTTCCAAGCATTTCTATGATATTTGTTAGAAGAAAATAAATAAACATATAAGAATTTGTGGAAAAAATCGTGACCGATTCCATTAAACCTGGTAAATAAATATTTTCCAACTAAAGAAATTTAAATTATGCACTCAAAAAGTTTTTTTTTTTAAAAACGATACTATTAAACAAAGACTAGTGTTTTATAGTAATTCCACAGCATTTGTATTATTTATCTACTTTTGAAGTCTTTGATCTTCAATACTAAACGCTTTTACAAAAATGAATAAAAACGTATTTCTTATTTTGCAATTTATTTATTGTTTTCATTTTAGGAAATTGCTGGAAAATACGCTTAGCTACGCTTATCTAACACTGATTTAAGAAAAAGTACTTTTATTCATTACAATTTTATTTTTTATTTTATTTTATCTTATTTTATTTTACTTTATTTTATTTTATTTTATTTTATTTTATTTTATTTTATTTTATTTTATTTTATTTTATTTTATTTTATTTTATTTTATTTTATTTTATATAATGGGCTATATATGCTTATCATCTTTTGTTTGTTTATATTTTCCATGACCAAACACAAATTTAACAAATTTTTTCGCCCGTGCAAATGTACATATATACATATGTACTAAAACTCTAAAAATAAACGTTGACTTAATCGTTAAGATAAACAACGGCAAATAATTTCACTTTTGTTGTTGCGAAATTTTTCGCACATTTTTGGTGTGGAAAAAAGTTTTGGGAAAATGTAAGCAAAACCAATGAAAATTTCTCTAAATTCAACAAAGGCAGCTGCGAAGGCGGCGCGCAAAACCACAGGCATCGAGCAAACACGCACGCTTATAGGTAAATACAGGCATGGCGGAGTAAATACAAATGTATGAATGTAACAAATTTTCCAACAGTACATAAGTATTTATGTATATTGGTATTGGAGCGTATAACGGCGAACAAGAGCGAGTGCAAATATTTATCAACTAGTGCAAACATGCACATACCTACGTACATACAGACTTACGTATGTACTCGTGTGTGATAAAATCGCGAAAAACATATTAAAATTTCGTTTATGCAAAAAGTGGAAAATAATTTTCCCATGTGAATTCAATTTTGCAAAGAGCATTTATAAGCCAGTAGGTATGTACATAAGCATGTGTGTGTTAAACCGTTTGTTGCTGGAAGGTCAAATAATAACAAAATCAACAGCTGCCGTCGAATATGAATAACGATTTTAACTTTTCGTGGAAATATAAAATGCTAAATTAATTCTCGGCTTAGCAGTAGATCGCAGTGGGCAGAGAGGTTAGGAATAGATATACTCGTACATGCCATTATATGTGTGTATGGCCTCCCAGTTCATGTAAGGCCCAACACAGTGTATATATGTATAAGTATATGTAGCTTTTCTCTTTATACAATACATACATAAATTTCATATTATTTATAATGCATATATCAGTCAGTCAACTATACATACAAGTATAAAACCACATTGGAGCGCGCATTAAAAGCTCATATGACGCAAGCGGCTGCGTAAATAAAAGTAAAAATTTCATAGTGTGAATGGCGTATTTTGAAATATATTTAAAAGTAAATTATCTTGCTTTGTGGATTTATTTAAGCAAATTACGAATTCACGCGAACATCAGCGCACCTAAATTACATTCATGTATTGATACTTTACTATAATGAGTTAATTATGTGATCACTGGACAGATAATAGTTTTTTTATTTTATTTTTTTTTTTTTTTATTATTTTTATTTGATTTTTAGATTTTACGTGGCATATATTATTTCTTTAAATTTATATATATATATATATATATATATATATGTAAATTTATAAATATTTTTTTTAATACTTTTACTTTAGTTTTATCCCAAAAATTTCTTTTATTTTATTTAAACATTTTACTAAAAATTTTAATTTGTAATTTTGTTAAAATTTTCAAGCTTATTTTATATATTTATCTTTTTTATTTTATTTTTTTATATTTTAGTTAATTTTATTTGTTTTGTGTAAAAAGCACCTAAAACATGTGTTATTTTTTTTTTCCTTTATACGTTTTAACAAAAAAAAAATTAAAAATTTTTATAAAGCATTAAACTAAAGAAAATAAATAAAATAAAAAATGTAATTTGTTTTTTTTTTTTGTTTAACTATTATATTCTATAATTTTTATTAGCTTGCAATTTTACCTTTTTACAAGTTTAATTTTTTTAATATATTTTCAAAATAACTTATATATCTTACTTTTTTAATTTACTCTTTAAATTTTTTCTTTACTTTTATTATAGTAAATTATTATAATTTTAAATTTTTAGTAAAATTTTTAATTTTATTTAAATGTGGAATTTTTTTTTTAATTTTTTAATCTCTTTTGATTTTTATATTCTTTCAGTTTCCTATTTTTTCTTTTTGTTTCATTTAACTCTTCATTTCAGTTTACATATTATTTTATTTTCTTATATATATACAATTTGGGTTTATTTTTTATTTTTAATTTTTTTTATATTTTTTTTTTCGTTTTATTTCTTTTAGAATTCTCATTTTTTCCATTTCATTATTTTTTTATTATTATTCATTTAATTTGTTTATTTAATTTTTTTTTTTCTGCAATTTCTTTTATTTTTACTTTGACAATTATTACCCATTTTTTTAATATATTTAATATTATATATATTAGTCTAAGTTTTTTTTTAAGTTTTTAAGATTTATAATATTTTTATGTTCTTTAAATTTTTTTTAAATTTTTCCTTTAATGATTTCAAATATTTAGTTTTATTTTAATACTTTATAATTTTTTTAGTTTCTTATTTATTTTCTTATTTATTTATTTATTTTTTTTTTTTTTTTTTTGTATAATATATTAGTCTTAGTTTTTTGATTTTTCATTTGTTAAATAATTTAATTCTTAAACTTTTCTCAATCTTTAGTTAGTTTCCAATTATTTTAATTTTTTTAAAGAACTATTATTGTAGAATAATTTTTGTGTGCTCAAAATTTCGTTCCCCGGCATATAGTAAATCTGCAGTTCTCAACCTGTTCATAAAATTAATGACTTCAAAATCTGAATCCAGGTACGATAAAGTGTACTTTCAAACATTAAGAAATACTTGAAATCATAAATATGGTATAGAAAACTTGAATTTAACTAAATTTCCATATAAATATTCTTTTCTGCCTCATTGAAAAATACCAATAAATTTAAAGCAAACAACTTTAAGCTGCGCTACACTGCATTATGAGACCAATGAGTGGCACAAAGCGACCCGCATTCAACACAGTCAATGACATTTGCAACAAATAACGGCAACAGTTGCTGTGGCAGCAACAAATAATAGCAACTGCCAGCGGAGTGCGCGGAGTCAAAGTTGAAGTTGGTTTGGCGAGTCGAGCTGTGGTCCAGGTTGTGCAAATAGGCGCAGCATTCCAAGTGCTACCATCATTTACTTAACAATTTTCCGCTCTTTTTCCTTGCCAATGGGAACGGATGACGGAGGCTGACAGTTGAGTCAACAGGCCAAAGCAGGCAGGGTGGGGGGCATAGATAGACAGATGTAAAGTTGAATGAGAAATGACAGACAGAAAATGAAAAAATGCACTTTAATACATAAAAGTAAATATAAAAGAGAATAGTTTCGAAATGAGGATGATTTCCCCTCTCTTTAGGGCGAGTGTACAAATAATTACAGCAGTTCTGGGCGTTGAGTGTTGCAAACAAAAGACTAGGCGCAAGAAGTCAAAGGAGAAGAATGAAATAGAAACTAAAAATTGCAACAGAGAATTTCTATAAAATGTAGAACAAATCCTGACAGGATGATGTTGTTGTGCGCTGGCTAAGTACAAAAGCGCGTTGCGACAGCGAATGCTGGCAGTGCCAAACAAATGAGAAGAAACTTTGAGAAAAACAATTTTTGAAGCTGCCGGTCCACGCCAAGTCGCTAACGCAAAAATAAACAAGAAAATACAGGTGCTGGTTGTCAGTTGTGGAGTGAAAAACATAGCTGTAAAGGGGCGAAAAAAAGATTACAAATATTGTAGTAAAGCCGCGGCGTGAAAGTTTTTGCAGATGGCTTTCAACATTTGCCACGTTAACCCATATTTTTGTAGTATACTCACTGCGCGAGGTTAAAGAGGTTAGGCGCCATCTCTTTATACTGAACTCGGTTATTTGCGCTTGTATGGCTTGAGACATTTTTTTACAAGTCTTTAAGAATTTCACGGTTCTTCTCAAAAACCAAAAAAAGAAAAAACATTATAGAAAATTATGTTTTTTTTTCATCAGAACTTCCTCAATTAAGAAGCTGAGAACATGAAATTCCGTATACTTGCCTCCCATCATAAGTAGTACACAGACACTAAAATCTATTGAAATATATTATCTTTTAATCATGGCTGTCAAGCCAAAAACTGTTCAAAAACGACTATTTTGGCTATAACTCCTGTAATTTACAAGCTAAGGTTCAATAATTTTGCACAGGTATAACTTTTTCCAAATAAAGGATATGTAGAAAAAATAAGCCGTAGCAAATAACTGTAAATCATAGCTGTCATACAAGTGATTATTCAAAAACGAGATTTTTATGTATAACTTTAGCAAACCAGCAGCCTAGTACACGAAATTTGGTATTCTTTGTTATTAACACTTTAAAGATTCTGAAAATTAACTAAAAATTAGGAAAATCTGTTTCAAAATATAAAAAAAGTTAAACAAA